TGTGTGGGAGTACATTATGCAGTAAAAGCAACAGAGCATATTGTAGGATTCAACAAAATTATTCGACAAACTCCACATAGCACATTGAAGTTCCTTTTTGAGAAAAATGTTCCTGGAGTTTCCAACCAAAGATTTTTTCAATGGTTGTTAGCTCTATCACCTAAGCAAATACAGGTTGAACATAATGCCAAGTATGTCCTACCTCAGTTGATGGAATACAACGGGTTAGAACATGAATGTTTATGTGAAGTCCAAGAGACTTCCTCTCCTCTGTTTTGTAGAGGCAGAGAAAATTGATGAACCTGTATTTTTTGATGGTTCGAGATACTGTATGTCTGGTAATTATTACAGTGGATATTCAATTTGGTATCCAGAGCGTAATTATTCCATACAGCACAAATTGCCAGAACATTTTTCAGCTCAAAGGGCAGAACTTGAAGCAGTAAAAACTGTGATGACATTAGACAAGGAAGAGAACAGAAGTCCATTAGTGATCTACAGTAATAGCTCATATGTTGTACGTTCCCTGACTGATTATCTACCAATTTGGAAAACAAAACGTAGAGGTTTTGTAGATGCATATAATAAAGTCCTAGTGCACAAAGAGACACTTGAATCAATTTTTAAGCTAGCAGAGGAAAATCCTTTTGCCTATGCAATTGTTAAAATTCCATCTCATAGGAAGGACAATGATGAGATGAGTGTAGGAAATAGAACAGTTGATCTCTTAGCAAAAGAAGCAGCTTTACATGGAGAACCAGTGATTCAGTCTGAACCAGTCTCAGTTAATGTTGTTAGGAAGACAGACACACACACACACACACACACACACACACACACACACACACACACACACACAGATTCCCTCCTTTGCAGAAGAACAGAAAAGGGATCCATCTCTTTCTGCTTCTCAGTTTGACCCAAAATTTCCCTTTGTATGTGAATACGGAATTTTGTGTCATGACTTAAATGGGTTTCTACGTCCTGTTATACCGCAGCATCTACAGGTAGACTTTACAAAATACAATCATGAAAGCCTAGGTAACATAGGTAAACAAAGATTGCTTGGGATTCTCAAGGAAAAATTTTACTGGGACATAATGGAAGAAACAGTAGACAGTGTAGTTCAATCTTGTCTAATCTGTGCTCAAGTGAATCCTCGACCAAAGGGTTAAAAACTTCCATTACAAAGAACTCCTCCAGCAGATGGACCATGGTCCACATTACAACTAGATTATATAGGACCGTTACCTACAGGTAAAAATGGGTACAGATATGCTTTAGTTGTAGTTGATGTTTTCTCAAAATGGATTGAAGTTTTTTGCCTGTTCGCAAAGATGATGCATTAACAACTGCTAAAAATGCTAATTAATCATGTTTTTCCAGTCTGGGATATACCAACAAATCTCAGTAGTGACAGAGGAACCCATTTCACAGGTAAAATCATGCAGGCAAAATTCCCTGTGTAAAATCTTAGGTATACAACAGAGATTTCATGTGCCATATCATCCACAATCAGCAGGTATTGTGGAAAGAATGAATAGGACTGTCAAATCAAAATCCAAGAATTGCAAAAATGTTATTGGACAGGAGGAAATACTTGGGTTGATGTTGTACTATTAGTTCTGATGAGTGTCAGAAGTACAACATCTTCTGCAACACAGTATTCTCCTTTTGAGTTAATGACAGGAAGGAAAATGGCGGCTTATGTTTCCACATGAACCTTTCTTGTTTACGCCGCAAAGAGAGGCAATAGAACAAACAAAGTGGTTACAGATGTTGCAAGACAATCTGAACACTATTATACCACATGCAGCTACTCGTATGCAAAAAATGGTTCCTCCACATTCTTCTAAGTTCGAAAAAACAAAAAGTTTTTCATGAGGACATGAAATGATAATAAAAACTTTCAGAAAAACTGGATCATGGCAAAGCAATTGGGAAGGTCCATTTGATATTTTGGATGTTCAAGGAGTAATAGTACAAGTTCAAAGACCTCTAAATTCAGAAAAAAATTGCTTGTAGACAACAAAAAATGTGGGTGCACACTGACCAATGTAAATTGTTTTATACCTAGATAATGATTACTGCATTTCTTTTGCAGAAATGGATTTCAAAAATCTGGAAAAGACAAACAATCACAGATTCCAGAAAAAGTAAAAATAACAAAAGAACATAAGGAAAAACAAAGCAGTAGAAAGGAAAGAATTATCATCACAGGATTGATTTTTTTCTTAGTGACAATTACATCATTGGTAATCTACATCATAAACTTTTCCAGCAATGCAGAAGTTAACAAGATTGAAGCCCTACATAAGAAAGACATTACACTTATTAGGAACAAAAGATTTTTTCCTAAGGACAGTGACATTAATACAGCTGAAGACTTGTTAGGATATGTGTGCATAGGCTATGGAAGAACTTGTATGGAATTGTATTTCGTTCATAGTAATGATATTGAAGTAAGAGCTAAAAATAGAGTCTAAATCAGAATTTGTTAAAATGCAAGGATCTTATATAATCAATAACAAAACTAGTAACTTTGAATGTAATTTATCAGATATGGGATACTGGTTAATAGTTTTAAAGGGAAATTAGCCTACTATTTGGTCAGGAGATATTACAATAGACATGTTAAATACTGGGAAAATAGGAAGTTCTAAAACAGATATTTGGTATCAATTACAAAGTTATTCACACTTTCTTGATCCCGAACATCTGAATATAAATGGGAATGAAAAAGAGGACATAGTTAAAATATGGGATTTCCAAGTGACAAGAGCTTTGGTTCAAACTAAAGTCAAAGTAATTGTTACTGTGGTAGATTTGATTGTCCCAGAGATAAAAATATCTCCTCAATCTTTAAGACTAGTAGAAGGAAAGGATAATCTGAATTTGATGTGTAGTACACAAATACACCTACCTCAAAATTCATTATTACTTGGAAAAGAAATGGTGAATTTTTGGGAAGTTTTCATCACTATAAAACTGATATTATCCATAAAAGTATTTTTGGTAATGTGAACTGGGATAATGATAAATTTGTGTATCATCAAAACACTATATCTATTAATGACACAGGTATATATGAATGCTGCATATCAATAGAAAATTATCCAATGAAATGTGTAAATACAAATGTAATTGCAATATCCCCTAAAAGAACACAGTGCACGGATAAGAAATTTATTCCAGCTAGTCCTTTCCAAATTAACCATTTCCAAACCAGACTCCTTTTGAGAGAAGGAAAGTTTGTTATTATATTGTGGAACTTCAACATTTCAGAATGGAAAATTTCAATAAGGTTTCCACATGTCAAGAACATCTGGTTAATATGGAATTAGGTATTGAAAGATGGTTTGGAACTAATATTAACCACTTCCAGACCGGACACTTTTACCCCCTTCCTGACAGGGCAATTTTGAGCTTTTAGCGCTATCACACTTTGAATGACAATTGCGCGGTCATGCAACACTGTACCCAAATGAATTTTTTACCATTTTTTTGAGACAGATAAAGCTTTATTTTGGTGGTATTTATTCACCACTGGGATTTGTATTTTTTTTGCTATGTAAATGAAATGTTCACAAATTTTGAAAAAATGTTTTTTTTTATAAAATTTTGCAAATAAATAATATTTCATCATAAATCTTAGCCAAAATTTATTCAGTTATGTTTTTAGTAAGAAAAAAAAAATCCAAATTAGTTTATAACCAACAATTATAATTTTTAAACATTTTTATTTTATTTTTTTATATTAATATTTTTAATTTTTTTTTTTACATACTGTCACCCTAGCAGTACAGTGTCACCATGGTGACACTGTACTACTTGTGGAGGGTGATGAAGATTTTTTTTTTTTTTTTTTTTTTTACACTGATTGCTTTTACACCCATATAGGATAGCAATCATTTCTCTTTCTCTCTGTGTGCATTCTTGCACTCATTGAGAAGTACTGAGTGAGCTGTGATTGGTCACAGCTTGTCACATGGTACCAGGCTTTTGTGAATAGCCTTGTACCATGTGACCTCTGTGATCATTCACAGATTTCACACGTAGTAAGCAATGATGTCAGAAGTGACATCTTGCTTACTACTTTGCATGTGATCACTGATTGGCCAATCAGTGATCACATGATCGGGACGGGACCTCGTACAGAGGTCCCGTCCGACGACCGGTGTTTCACTGTGTCCGAGGACACAGCGGGCACCTGATCGCGGTGCTGTGCGCTCCCAGGGAGCGCGCACAAGCAGGGTGCGGGGAGGCCGTTTATAGACGGCCACCCGACCCTGCAGTGCCACCGTCCGGCCGTTTATATGCAACGGCCAGTCGGGAAGTGGTTAAGAATCCTCACAGGAATAAGCGTGGTATAGTTGAAGGTATTTTAGGAGGAGTTGGTACTATTGGAAGTATTACAAATAGTATGGACATTAGTACATTCAAGTCTGATCTTGAGACAGCTGGTTTAGTGGGAAGCAATAGCATTAAAGTACAAAGAAATTTAAATCAGATATTGGAAAATATGGTGATTTAAACAGCCAATATTATGGGTCCATCTATATTACATTTACAGAATATTACTCTTAATTTAATGACAAGTGAACAGCATTCCCATATAGCCAGAGCATGTTTAGAAATTCAGATGGAATATTCCACAAATTTTAAAATAATAGCTCAAGCCTTTCAAAGTGGAATAACTCCTCTAGGTATTGTACAAAATTTACCCAGAGAGTATGTACAGTATATGCCATATTTTTATTATTATCATATTATGTATTATATTTCAATTACCGTATTTTTCGCTCCATAAGACGCACCTGACCATAAGATGCACCCTAGGTTTTTAGAGGCAGAAAACAGGAAAAAAATTCTGAACTAATGGACTGCAGACATAGTAGAGGAGATGACCAGAGACTGCGGACAGTACAGGGATGACCAGAGACTGCGGACAGTACAGGGATGACCAGAGACTGCGGACATAGTACAGGAGATGACCAGAGACTGCGGACACAGTACAGGAGATGACCAGAGACTGCGGACAGTACAGGAGATGACCAGAGACTGCGGACAGTACAGGGATGACCAGAGACTGCAGACAGTACAGGGATGACCAGAGACTGCGGACAGTACAGGGATGACCAGAGACTGCAGACAGCACAGGGATGACCAGAGACTGCGGACAGTACAGGAGATGACCAGAGACTGCGGACAGTACAGGGATGACCAGAGACTGCGGACAGTACAGGGATGACCAGAGACTGCGGACATAGTACAGGAGATGACCAGAGACTGCGGACACAGTACAGGAGATGACCAGAGACTGCGGACACAGTACAGGGGATGACCAGAGACTGCGGACAGTACAGGGATGACCAGAGACTGCAGACAGCACAGGGATGACCAGAGACTGCGGACAGTACAGGAGATGACCAGAGACTGCGGACAGTACAGGGATGAGCAGAGACTGCGGACAGTACAGGGATGACCAGAGACTGCAGACACAGTACAGGAGATGACCAGAGACTGCGGATAGTACAGGGATGACCAGAGACTGCGGACAGTACAGGGATGACCAGAGACTGCGGACAGTACAGGGATGACCAGAGACTGCGGACAGTACAGGGATGACCAGAGACTGCAGACAGCACAGGGATGACCAGAGACTGCGGACAGTACAGGAGATGACCAGAGACTGCGGACAGTACAGGGATGACCAGAGACTGCGGACAGTACAGGGATGACCAGAGACTGCAGACACAGTACAGGAGATGACCAGAGACTGCGGACAGTACAGGGATGACCAGAGACTGCGGACAGCACAGGGATGACCAGAAACTGTGGACAGTACAGATGACTGCTGACCTTTGGTGAGGGGGGGGAGCGGGTACCTGAATTTGACAGGTACCCGCTCTTACTTCCGCAGAGTTTTTTTTTTTATCTTACCTGTTCCTCTATCCAGCTGCGCGCTGTCTTCCCGGCTTCTGTAGTGTGGGCACTCGTCGGACAGCCGGATGCCCAGTGCAGCGAGAAGCGCTGTGCTTTGTGATTGGTCCGGCGGCTTCTGGGATCTGTCATGTGTCCCAGGTACCGCCTTACCATTCACAAAGAGCACTGCTTCTTGCGCATGCGCACTTGGGACCCGGATGTCACGCACACTACAGAAGACGGGAAGACAGCGCGCCGCTGGATAGAGGGACAGGTAAGGTCCCACTGCAGAGCTGAGCGGCCGGTCCGGTATTCTGACACGGCGACGGTGGAAATACCGGACCGGCCGCTCTATATTCGCTCCATAAGACGCACTGACATTTCCCCCCTTTTTTTGGGGGAAAAAAAGTGCGTCTTATGGAGCGAAAAATACGGTATGTTTGATGTGTAAAATGAGACATTTCTATAAGCGAATTAGAAGTGAAATTAGGAAAGGAGATGATTTATTACAAAATATACTTAAGAGAAAAATACTTTCTGGTTTTGCTGACTCAGTTACAAATAATGATACATTTGAAATTGCTAAATCTAAACCTGTGTGAATGAGATATAAATGGAGTGTGATATAAATTAAAATATGAATTTCATATTTCAGAGGGGAATGTAATATTAACTTTTAATATCTAAATTTTAATTCGGTCTCTAGTAAGTTCTGAAATATGCCTGGCAGAGAACATACCCTCTTAATTGGATGTGAATACGAGGTTTTGAAATTGAGTAGTAACAGATGTGAATTATTTGTGTCTGGGTTAGGTAATTAGGAAAGGTTTAAATTTATGTTTTCTTTAGAATAGCTATGTAATGTATATCTTATTATGATTTCATATAATGAGTCTGAGAGTTTAAATTGTATTCATAAATCATGTATTCAGACAGCTATATGTAACATAAGAACTTCAGAGTTCCCTTCTAGAGTGTTCATGTCAGTCATGTTAATTGCCTTAGTTGATTGAATAGAAACACATGTGTTGCTACACTGGGAGGTGACTATGGGAGTGGTTAAGGAGCCCGCAAATTTGAAACAAAGGATAATGGGAGGACTTAGTTCCTTGTGCATTTTAAGTATGTAAGCCCATTCAAGGAACAGGGTCACTTGCTCACTTCTTCTCTTCACTTCACTTCATTCAGACATACATACACTTCAGACACTTACACAAAGGAGCACATGGCATGCTAAGCTTGAACAAAGGGAAGCACATGTCCATTTCTTAGAGCACATGGTTCTAGGCCAAGCTCCTTTCTAAGCTACACAAAGGAACTACATTTTTCTTCTTATATCCAAGGAACAAGCAGCTTATATTCTTTATTTTTATTTCATTTTAAGCTACATATCTTTTTTGTATTTGAATTTGCTACATTTATATTGACTTTGTATCTTTTGGTGTGTGATCAAATAAAGTCACACTGTTTTTTTCCTAACTGGCTTCCAAAAGGATTTTTTCCCACAACCACCTACAAGTACAGGAATACTAATAGAGTTTTTTCACAACTCTTAAATTTCAACAATACCAAAGTCCCATCATCATCTGTCACAGTGTATTAGTGCACAAAAACATCTGTCATAGTGTACCAGTGTCCCATCAACATCTGCAATAGTGTCCCATTGCAACATCAACATTTGTCAGTGTCCCTATTGGACCTTCAACATCTGTTGATTTCCGTAGAGGACCATTAACATCTGTTAATGTCCCTAGTGTACTTTCAACATCTGTCCGTGTCCCACTGGACCATCAACATATGTTGATGTCCCTAGTGGACCATCAACATCTGTTGGTGTCCCTAGGAGACCATCAACATCTGTCTGTGTCACTAGTGGACCGTTAACATCTGTCGGTGACCCCATTGGCCTCCAAAAATGTGATAGGTAGTCAGGAAATTGGATGTGTAATTTATGCCCCTATAATGCCTAAAGGTGCTATTTGGATTTTGGGCCTCTCTTTGTGGCTAGAAAAAGTCTCACATATGTGGTATCTCCATACTAAGGGAGAGTAGCAGAATGCATTTTGGGGTGTATTTCTTAGTATGTCCATGCTGTGTGTTAGAAATATCCTATAAATTGACAACATTGTGTAAAAAAAAAGTTTTCATTTTCTTTGCACAGTTTCCAAAAACTTGTGGCAAAAAAATGACATATTCAAAAGCAGGTGTTTGCTTTCCAAAATGTGGTCATTTTGTGTTTGTTTTCATTGTCCTGATGCTTCAGGGCCTTCAAAAGTGTGATAGGTAGTCAGGAAATTAGATGCGTAATTTATGCTTCTTGGATTTTGGGCCCCTCTATGTGGCAAGGCTGTAAAAAAAACTTTCACACGTGTGATATCCCCTTGCTTGGGAGAAAAAGCAGAATGTCATCGGGCATTGGATCGTCTGGCTCGACAGCGGGCATCGGGTCACCAGGCATCAGGTCATCTGGCTCGACAGCTGGCATCGGGTCATCAGGCACGACAGCGGGCATTGGGTCACCAGGCATCAGGTCATCTGGCTCGACAGCGGGCACCGAGTCACCAGGCAAGATAGGATCATTAGGCTGGATCAGTTCATCAGGCTGGGTACAGACATCAGGCTGGGTAGAGACATCAGGCTGAATTGCGGGTGCCGAGGCACCAGGCTGAACCACGGAAGGCGGGTTCTCAGACGGTTTGGATACTGGAAGGATGGTACTGGTTGGAAAGAATTTTCGCTTTTTTCTGGTTTTAGTTACTGGAGCACTGTAAGTAAACTCAGGTCTGTAAATGAATGGAGCAGCTAAAGACAGAGAGGACTTCTTTACAGGGTTAAAGAAAGGATAGGTGCAGCGAGTGGGAGCAGGGGACTGGTATGTGGTAGTTAGCAGAGTATACTGGGCCGTCACTGGGGGTGCTGTCGGGGATGCAGGAAGAGTGCCTTGAGCAGAGGAATGATGTTGCAAGCTGACTGAGGCTGGGTGCAACAAATCTGTCCATGTCTGCAGTACTGGTTGAACAAAAATCAGCTTACACATAGCCTGTCTGACCAAAGACTGCACTGCGTTTATGCAATCCATAAGCACATGTGATGGACAAGCATAATGCTCATGGAAGCAATCTGGATCATCCTCCAACAACCATACCAGTGATTCCACTTGATGCACACTAAATGGGAGAAAAAAGTAATTCCTGCTTTCAGGGGTACAGGACCGAGCCAGCTCAGCACAAACCTGGATCAATGGCTGCACCTCAGAAAACTCTGTGCCCTGATCTACTAGGCAATGAGCGATCCTTAAACACTCTAGTAGTTGATCCCTGGGGTACTGCTTCAGAGTCTGATAAGCATAGTCTTTGTCATCAAACACTAGCAGAGATAAATACACCACCTCATCAAGATCCATCCTTCCCAGCAACAATAAGCCAAGATGGCTTCCCTGTGCAGCCACATCTGGTCAGGATTGGCCTTGGTGTAATGTCAGGGCTCCAGGTATGACCAGAGGTGTGTGGACTGACACAGGGAAATGCAGGCTTCAGATATGGTATAAACAATATAATTTATTAAGACTAACAATACAAAACACAGTGCAAAACTAAACATAAACACAGTGCAAACAAACCAAACCAAACCACCCACCGATAACAATACATACAATACAAAGAGTAGTCAGGCAGGACGGGTCAGTAGCAAACGGGCAAACGGAGTACCAGGAACAGGCGGGAGAGTGGTCGGGGTCACAAGCTGGGTTCAATAACTCACGGGCAGCGCGGTACAGAGGGTCAGACAGAGAATGGTCGGGGTCACAAGCCAGGGATCAAGCAGGAGAAGTCAGCAGAGGTCAGGATCAGGCAGGGTCGGCAACAAGTCAGACAGGAACAGGAATACAGGATACAAGGTACAGGGGCCCATGGAAAAACACACACCAAGGCCCTGACTGTGAGTCTGGCCATTCCTTAAATACAACCCCTGCAATCAGCTTCAGGTGTTTGGCTGATTGCAGGGGTGAGTCTCTGATTGCTGAGAGCACCCGCTGGCCAGCCCTCGTACTGCAGCCCACAAGGCAGGTGAGTCCCACCATTATTGGCAAGTCCATTCCTGACATACACACTCACTGGCCACTTTATTAGGTACACCTGTTCTGCTTGTTAACGCAAATTGCTAATCAGCCAATCACATGGCAGCATTTAGGCATCTAGACATGGTAAAGACTACTTGCTGAAGTTCAAACTGCGCTCCAGAAAGGGGATTTAAGTGACTTTGTATGTGGCATGGTTGTTGGTGTCAGAAGGGCTGGTCTGAATATTTCAAAAACTGGTGATCTACTGGGGTTTTCACTCACAACCATTTCTAGGATTTACAGAGAATAGTCCAAAAAAGAGAAAATGTTCAGTGAGCGGCAGTTGTGTGGATGAAAATGCCTTGTTGATGTCAGAGGTCAGAG